CCGCCGGGGGCCTCGGTGGCGCCGTCGGCGGCCTTTCGGAGAATTTGTCTTGTAGCCTCAGGAAAAGCTCGCCGTCGGCGCCCTAATGCAATTCACCACATTTTGGTCCTTTTTGCTTCAAATTCACTCCTTTTTGCATCTTTTTGCTCCATTGACCCTAATTCATCATTCCTGCAACAAAACATCAAAAATACATTTCTTTAAAGTGCAATATCATTAAAAAGAGTATAAAAGAGGTATGAAAATCTCAACATATTTTCCTTTGGTCAGTATCTTCCTTGCCTAGCCCTTCTTCAGAACTATTCAAACTTTAAATTAACCAATATTCTTTATAACATCTCTAGTAAGGGTAAAGAATATAATTGCTCATATTTGTAACAATCATTGCATGAGAAAAAGTACATTTAATATATTAAACCTCACTTTGTGATTTTCACTAAGTATTTTAGTTTAGAAGTAGAAGTAGTACTGTAGTGATAATTGTAGGATATAAGCAAAACCAAACCTTTATCGACCTTCCAAGCTAGGGCGTGTTATTGTAGACTAGAACTTCTCTTGAAAGCCTCCGTGATTAACCTCGATCTCTGTGAGATCGATATTCGGGGCTTAATCAGAAAACCCTATATTATTTTATAACAATACGTATACTTGCGTAGAATACCTACAAATATAAAAATCTTACTTTGCTTGGGATCGCGTTTGGGATCAAGGTTTTGGTGTCATTACCGGGAATGGTGTCATTACCGGGAACCGGGAATTAAAATCTTCAAGTAGTTGTGTCAACTTCATAAATCCTTACATATAAAAAATATCGGGATCACTTGTCAATTCTTTAAACTTCGTAGAAATATTCTGCCACCCTTCATTGTTAAAGTAAGTGGTGGGTCTATTTCCAAGTTCGATCTCCTTAATACAGAGATTGCAGAAAATGTTTGTCACATCCTTATCCCACATTGCTGAGGTAGTTGCTTCTTTGTTCATAGCCATAATGGGACTAAAAAATCTATGGATGCATGAGTACATTGGGATTGATACTAAAATAAAGTACCAATAGAAACAATAACATAACATAATAAAGAAACAAATTTGAAGCATAAAACACAAGCTGTCATAAACACAACGCACCTAACTTAAAGGTATGCAGAGCACACCCAATCCACCATAAAAAACACTTACAGACACCACTGCCATGTGCACACCTCACCTAAACCACCAACCCACACACCCAAAGTCACCACAAGCACACCCAAGCCACCATAAACAACACTCACATGTGCCATCGTCACGCGCACACCTCACCTCAACCACCAACCCACAAACCCAAAGCCCCACAACCACACCCAAGTCACCATAACCACCAGTCACATGCACCACTATCACATGCACATCTCACCTAAACCACTAACCCACACACCCAAAACCACCACAAGCATACCAAACCACCATAAACACCACTCACGTGCACCACTGTCACGTGCACACATCACCTAAACCACCAAACCACACACCCAAAGCCACCTAAAAAACACACTAGCCACCATGAACACCACTAATAGGCACCACTGTCACGTGCACACCTCACCTAAACCACCAACCCAAACACCCAAAACCACCACAAGCACACCCAAGCCACCATAAACACCGCTCACATTGTTACAGAAATGATTGGACATAACAATCTTCTAATGCATATAGCAATCGAGAGCAATGCCAAAAAAAAAGTCACTAATAGCAAAGACACTCAGGAGGTGAAACTTGAGCATGGTAATCAAATGTTTAAAATTTTCAAGGAGCATGCAAGCAAGACATCCATATTGGATGATCTTGGTTTTTTTTATGAGAATCGTCAAAAGGTTATGCAAGAAAAGAGAGATAAACAACTATAGCATATCAAGCTGATTGTTGATTTAAAACCAGTAGCTCCTACGAATAAGGTTATTTCACAAAGTTTGCCTCACAGGAATAAGCTTTAACTGTTAGGCGTGCATGTGCATAAGGATTATATGGTGCGCAAGTGAACTTTCCAAAGCATCGCATCACACATGTGAACGCATGAAAACTGTTAGCATTAATCGAACAAATATATCAAGCATCTGTCCTCAAAAGCCACTGCAAGCGCACCAAGGCCACTATAAACAACACTCACAGGCACCATTGTCATGTGCACACCTCACCTAAACCACCAACCTACACACCCAAAGCCATCACAAGCACACCCAAGCCGCCACACACAAGCCAGTCGAAACAAATGCCACTCAAAATTAACCATTAAAAAATCCTCCATCCTCATTTTTCCAAAATGACTAAACCATGCCAATCACAAAAATGAATGACAACAAAAAAAAATCCTCCATCCTCACTCCATCCTCATTTCTCCAAACCAAAATGCCACAGATATGCCAATCACAAAACTTACCAAATTCAAAACTAATGACAGTTTAAAAAACGAATGCCAATCTCAGAAATTTTAGTAACCACAAACGTCAAAAAATAAAAACCATCTCATACGAACATCTTCATTTCTCCAAAATGGAAATTTTAAATCTACATTCGCACATCAAAAAATGAAAACCATCTCAAACAATGCTTCACAGACCCTCAAAGGAATGCAAAACACACGCAACATCTTACTTCGCACGGAAAACACTTCACATTAAATCAGAAGAGGCATTCATACACAATGCTCCAAAAACCCTCAACGCAATGCTCCAATGTTACGGATCACAACAAAATAAAATTGCCAAATACTTACAGAGCAAAGCGAAGTTGGATCGCATAGGAGAGAACGAGAAGACCAATCAAAACCTATGGCAAGAGACGCAGGGGAGAGGGCGACGAGGACAAGGAAGACGATCGAAACTTAGGGCGCGAGACACAGGGGAGAGGACGAGAAATTGGTTGACGAGGATGAGGCCGCGGGCCGCATCTATGTGTTAACACAAAATCGTGTTTGGCCAAACACACTCCAAACGCAAGAAACAAACGCCCTCCCTGCGTTTTGAAAATGCAAAAGTTGTGGATAAGCCGCCCCAAACACACCCTCAGTCAATAATAGATTATAGCATCCTATATCTTCAAGAAAGTAATGATATGGTATTGAATCTTTAGACCCTTGAGGCCTCCAACAAACAATCATTCAATACGAAAGACTTAACAATCACCTTTTTTTAGTTTCTTTCCAATCTCAGTACTTGTCCAAATAAAAAAAATAAATGTTTAGTCATCGTACAAATCCTAAGAAAGCTCAAATTTCCTAGAATAAGCAAAGATTAATGAATTAAAAAAAAGCACAAAAAAGGAATTTACATACATACCACATAATTTCTACGTATTTGTATCTTTAACATCTAAATTTTAATACCTACTTCAAATCACAAAAAATATCACTAATTTTAGACTTTTTTTTTTACAGAAAACATACATGTTTTGATGTGAATGAACACAGAGATTTACACAAGTAAATACTAAAATTTAGACATAATATATGCAAATGGATAAAATTTATGTGGTATGTATGTAAATCCCCAAAAACATAATGCTTACTGCTAAAATTCTCTGCTCTTCCAGCTTTCCCCGCTAGAACCTGATTGTATCAGACCCAGACCATACTCACTGGTTGGTGCGCTGTACCCACTGTTCCCATATTCCTGACTTTCTAATGCCTTTTTTCTGAATTTTCTCATATCCTCATTGTATTGCATGGCATCATAATCAGAGCTGGCGTAGGAACCATATACACTGCTGTGGCCTGCTTTAGCTCCATTCAAACCTTCAAAAGATATATCTCCTTCCAGGGCCCGAACAATCTGTGTAGGATTAAATGATCAGAATTAGTTAAAGAAGTTTCCATATTCTGTCCCTTTTATGATGTAAATCCTAATTTAGTAAATTGGACTGTGAGGCGAATTTAAAAATTTCTTCCGCCGTCGCTCGCGAGTTCATCTCCATCGCACAAGAGTATCAGATTTATTGGATTTGATAAATCCTATTTAACGTAAACTCAGATTGCAGCCATTCACCGTCTGATACTAATAACATCATTTAAGAAATCCATTTTCCCCACAACAGTTCTACGATAACTTTAACAAATAGCAGCAGACATCTCAAACGGATCAGTAAATACAAGCTGAACAATGGCCCAAACAAATGATAAAAACGAAATATCATAATCACCATTAATCAATTAAATGGCAGGCATTGCATTGTTCAGAGAAGGTAGAACTGAACCAAAGGTAACAAAATTGCCTAAATAAAACTATTCAGAAGCATCAGAAAACAAAAATTTGTAAAGGGCTACCAAATCTCATATATGAAAAAGATGAGTTGATACCTGGCTCATCCGAGGCCTCCGCTTCGCCGAATGACGCACAGAGGCGGCTGCACAGGCAACCATGCGTCTCATTTCACTGTGGTTATAATCTTTCCCCAGCCTTGGATCAACAAAGGAATCAAAGCTTCCATCATCAAGAGCCTGGGTAAGCAAAGGCCTTGCCTGCAGTAACAAAAAAAAGATCAATAATCAGTGAAAGAAAGAGCAACTTTCAGAAGGTTTATGGCATAAATTTTGTGTTATGCTGCAAATATAATGATGATGTTTCAGGTTTCAGATATCAGCCTCTTACCCAATCAACCAAGCTATCATCCATGAAAGATTGGCTTGAATCAAAAGGGGGGCGGCCAGTGATTAGTTCGAGAAGCATGACGCCGAAGGAAAAAACATCGGATTTCTCTGTGAGCTTACCAGAAGATGCGTACTCTGGAGCAAGATATCTGGGGAGGACTAATATGTGTTAATTAAATATATGGATAGAATTATCCCTAAAATTTTAAGTTACAGACTAATGATGACATTAATCAGCTTCAGCTTTTTGTAAGGATAGTTGTAAGACTATTGTGAGAAAATCAATATTTTTAGAAGTTGTTGCTAGTATTTTTTTTTTTATTTTTGAAAAATTTTAACAATAATTTGTTTATAACTACTACAATTTAACAAAATTGGTTATCAAAAATAACTTACTATCACAGAAATTTCTAAGGGTGTCAAAAATTAACTGGACCATCAACTTTACTCGAACTTAACTAGAAAAATCTGCGGTTGGGTTAACCCAAATAATTTTCAGGTCGGGGCCTAGTTAGGAGTCATATCCAATTTACTTTTTTAGGTCGGGTTTGAGTTGACCCTAAACCAGAAATTGACCCGATAGTCAGAAATGAACTCAAAATTGACCCGCCAACTCAAAATTAATTTGAAATCGACCCGAGTAACTATTATGCCTAATGTTAAATGGGTTATACAAATTAGGCTCAGGTAGTTGGTTGGTTGAAGGAGGGCAAGGTTCAGGTTGAACTTTCTGACCCGTTTAATATTCGAGTCCAGTTTAGCTCAAGAAATTTGGTGTAAAGTCAATTTCAGGTTAGATCTGAAACCGAACCACAAATCCAATTCAGCACCTCTAAAAATTTTTATGATATAACATGATATTATTAGCTAAATCAAAATGTGGCAAAAATTTAAAAAGGATCGTGAAAAAGCTACCCCAAAAAGATCTTAACTCACAAGAAATATTTCATACCCAAAAGTTCCCATAACTCTCGTAGAGACATGGGTGTTGGTCTCTGGTGCACTCTTGGCAAGCCCAAAATCAGCAACCTGCATATAAACAGTGCTTAGTTAGCTCAGGCATAAGAACCACCATAAAAAAACGAAGGGAATGTTTAGCAAATTAAAAAGTTTATGATTTTATCTCAGCTATAAATTACTGAAAAAGATTGGTGCTCTGACCATATATTCATCATTGTAATAATCATCATCAACTTCAAACTTGAATATTTTAAAAGAAGAGGCATTGCGAAATTTGAATATTCTACCTTGGCTTCAAACTTGAAGTCCAAAAGAATATTAGATGCTTTAATGTCACGATGAATAATTTTGGGATGACCTGCAAATTAAGTTCAACGAGAAAAAGTTCAGGCAGACTGCAAGATCATTCGTGGTAAAACAAGGAGCAGATATGTTTTAAACACAATTGATAGCAAAAGTAGAAGAGGCTTACAATCTTCATGCAAATATGCAAGTCCTTTTGCAGAGCCCAGAGCAACTTTTAATCTAGTGGGCCAATCTAAGGGTGGTCGCCCCGAACCTGTGCGAGTTCAGTAATAAATTCAATGTTGAAACAGGAACCCTGGTTAATGAATAAGCTAAAGCATGTGGATCTGATTGATTATCAAGCAGGAAAATTATAATTTATTGGTAAAATTTTTCTCTGATAAATCTGGAGTACAGCTATTTTATGTTCAACGCCATCAGAACAGCCGTCACCGACTCTCTCTCTCTCTCTATCTCTATCTCTCTGTGCCCCACTGGTCACACACTCATAAAGTCAGGCTACTTGGTTAAACTTTTCCTGATACTCACAACGGGCCTCTCTTCCCTCTCCCTCCATGCCATTGTCAAGCCTATGAGTGTGCATTCAATCAGTTTGGACGGAATGATTTATAAATTAGTCAAATCTGATGAAACGGGAATTTGAAACCCATAAAATTAAACTAACCAAACTTTTATTAAAACTAATGCAAACCAAAGCTTTGGATGGAATAATTCAATTAAATCGGTGTTGTTTTGAGCAAATGGAAATTAAGCATTGGGCCTAAATTATTAAAAATCAAGGTTTCACTTAAAAATTTAAAAAATTCATCTCTTTCTAATTTCCTCATCATTTCTTGAAATTAAAAAAAAAATCAAACAAACCAAAATTAATCATATTACATGCCTAATTTCTTTTCTTTCTAAGTGAATTTAATTTTCTAATCTTATTAATATTATTATTTTTATTTATTTGATTCAATGAAGATCAAAATAGACCCAAAAATCAAAAACAACAATAATAGCAACAACAAGCTTTTATCCCGCTAAGTGGGGTCGGTTACATGAATCTTTTTTCTCCATTGAGTCCTACTGAGTGTCATATTTCTATGTAAATCTGATGAATTAAGATCATTTTATATACAATATGTCCAAGTCTTTTTAGGCCTACCTCTACCTTTCTTAACAAAAGTTGAATCTAAAACATTACTCTCCTAACAGGATCATCAAATGACCAGCATTTAATGTGACCAAACAATCTAAGACAACACACTTAGATCAAACATTCTTAGATCAGACATTCTATCTGTAAACACATCGATTGGAGCGCATACAAACGATTTTGATCATATGAATGCATTTTAGTACACTTGCACTAAAGATTTGCACAAATTTCAATGCACTTGCAATCTTTTTGCAAGATAAGATTGTCTTAATTTCGATATATTTGCACACTTCTTAAGGACTGCACAAACTTTTTGTTAGCGAAGGTGACGTGAAAATAAGTTAAAATTTTAGTTGGTTGTGAAGTCAAAACATTAAGTATTTGCATTAGTGAAAAATTTTCTTTTCTTATAAATAAGAGAAATTTTTTTGCAAGTTTATCACAAGGCTCCCATTTGTTCATTTTAAGCATTTTAATTTGACTGAAAGGTATTTAATATAATTTTATGTTATGTTATGTATGTATGTATCTATGCACGTATCTGCGTGTATGGATGTTTGTATGTATATCTATGTGAATGTGTGTGTGCACGCGTGCGTGTCTACCTATGTGTGTGTGTGTGTGTGTGTATGTGTGTGTGTATTTGTATGTATGTATGTCTGTATGTATTTATATGTGTATGTGTGTATGTGTGTGTGTGTGTGTGTGTGTGTGTCTGTATGTATGTCTATATGTATGTGTGTATGTCTGCATGTATGTCTGTGTGTATATGCGTTTATATGTCTGTATGTATGTATATATGTGTATGTATGTTTGTCTGTATGTGTTTGTAGTATATGTAAGTCTGTATGTCTGTATGTTTGTATATGTGTGTGGTATATGTATGTGTGTGTGTGTGTGTGTGTGTGTGTGTGTGTGTGTGTGTGTGTGTGTGTGTGTGTGTGTGTGTGTGTGTGTGTGTGTGTGAATGTATGTATGCATGTATGTATGTGTGTATGTGTGTGTGTGTATGTTTATGTGTGTGTATGTGCATGTAGATATAGGTATGTATATATGTATATATGTATGTATGTATGTATATGTGTGTGTATGTATATGGATGTTTGTGCATATGTATGCATGTATGGATACATATTTACCAATATATGTACATATACCGATTGTTTCGCAGTAATTTTAAGTATCAAGTTTTTGGTGTCTTTGTTAGGGATATTAGTAAAAACTTTTTGATATTGGGAGAATTGTAGTTAAAAAACTTAGAATTTAGGTTTAAAGAGTAACTTATTTTCCAGCCTATTTGTGTTTCATTTCTATTATGTTCTTATTTTTGAAAAATACGTAAAAAAACAAATTGTTTGCATCTTTCTTAATGACACAAAATGCAGCCAAAACACTAAGCCGGTAAAAATTATACACTAGTGTGATTAAGTCACTTTTCAGCATAATTATGTCAAACTCTCTGTGTATGATGTAATTACATTAGGATTAGACGTAGCTATGCCGACGCCAGCCGAAGTCTTGTTTTGGCAACTTGTTCAATGGCAAAGTTGGTAATAGATATATGATAAAATGCTTTCGGACGCCTTGGAGGAGTTTTGCAGCACTTTGGAGGTTTCTTTCAGAAAGGGTTAGGGTTTTTTGTCAGACCCTAGGGTCTCTTTCTCCTTCCTTGGGGAGAAGCTCTCAGGTAAGTTTTAATTTGATTTTGAGAGGTGGTTTGTGAGAGAGATAGAGAGATTGAGGGTTGTGTATGAGGGAGATCGTGGAATTCTTCCATTATACGACGAGGATTCGATGTATTCTGAAGAACACTTGACTTCTTTATAAGTTTGTGTACTCTCTTTCATTTGTATCTTCAATGGGTTTAATGAAAAGTTTTGTGCCTTTCTACCTCATGTCTCATGGCTAGTCTTCTTTCATGGTCCTGCAATGTAAGGATGGGATATTTCTCATTGTTTTTACCATGAATTTTTCCCAGTAAACATTTTTTGTACCTTCAAAATTTTATATGTTGATGTATTAACTTTCCAACCTTAATTTACTTCAAATCTGACTAGATCAAATGTTAAAATCCCTTGTGATTCAGGACTTCAAACCGTCATCTAAAAGAAAAAATAGGGTAACACACAATAGCTTAGTAGAATAAACATATTACCATTAAGAAATTACAACCAAGATAGAGGATCCAAGAAATCCTGGGAAATGTTGCATGGTTAAGTCCCTCTCAACTATAATATGATTTATAACTTTTCTTATGACCTAAACATAGTCTAAGGAGGATTGTATCTCTGGTTCTCAACTATCACACACGGAAACTCATATAAAAAAAATATAGAGAGAATACTATAATGGTGTTAGAGGAGCATGAGTCTCATACCTTTGAAAGAATTTGAGTTGCTCCCTGCCTTTTCTGCTACTATCATTTATGTTTATTGCACTTTAAAATTGTTAGCATTTTCATTCTTGTTATTTTAAGCACTTCAAACTAGATTCAGTGATTTAGTACACTAAAACTTCCCCTGTTAGAAATATCTTGACAACTATTCTCGTGAGATTAATACATGGACTCTTCAACTGTATATTACTTTATCAGTGAGTATAGTTGTGTGATTGATCGATTGCTTTGCAATAATATCGGACATCACTTACTGGATTTACTAAATAAATATGAATAAATGCATTTTCCATTGATAATTCCTTACCCATCCCTAGTGAAGCCCTAGGAGAAAAATTTATCTAGTAATTTTTGTGATTCAAATGCTCTTTCTCGCACCAGATAAAACTTAAGCTTCACATCAACAAACCAAAAAAAAAAAATCACTAATTTTCTCAAGTCTGTTTTTGTAATTCTTTGAATGCAACCACTCATTCGCGTCAGTACAATAGTAACAATTCTTCTAAACAAGTGTACTTTAGCAAATTCCTTTAAAGAGCCTTTGAATAAGCTAATCAATCCATAACACTTTTCCAATGAAACACGGACACAAACACGACACCATAGAATATGATGACATGAGGTAATTATAACAAGTACGACACAACATATCGTTGACACATTTTATTTGTATTTAATAAATGATTTATATAAAAAATATATATTTTCATTATTATCTACTAAGGACATCACAAAACAAAGTACGCGAAAATGAAATTTAACTTTATAAATTTAACTTATAATATGAAATCTCACACTTACATAATGAACTATTTTAAAATAAGACATTTTATATGCTTCAAAAAAATTATTTCAACTTATCAACTAAAATTTAAAATATCCTACATTTCCACCTTGTTGAGTTTATTATGTTAAAATTTAACTTCTAAATTTATAATAATTGTAGACTTATAACTATTAACTCATTAAATATTACAAACAATTTATAAATTATCACTTACAAAACTAGTGCGGCTTTGACCACACTCGACTTCAACGAATAAAGGCTTCAGTGCAAGCATCACGGGTGTTGGCATCATCTTCGACAAAGGGTATTTGGATAGGCTTCAACGAATAGATTCGACTCCTGCTTATGTTGCAACAAAAAAGCTTATGGCTTCCACTTTAGCAAGTGGATGTTCAACTTTGACAAACAAAAAAGAACTTCAACACTCAGCTTCTACAAATGCAGAATGGACCTTTGATATTCGAGTTCAACGAACAAAAAAGGAACTGCTGATGCTCAGCTTCAATAATAGTTGAATGTGCCTTCACCGCTCAACTACGACGACCCTACTTCAATGAATGTTATGGGAGCTTCAAAATGAAGACAGAGGCGATTGTTTATGAGGTATAATTTGGGCTATGCTATGTTTATAATTTTATACTTTGAGTGCCCCAATTTTCCCTAAATCGTGTCTAGCCAGTGCCCGACTCCTTATCGAAGCGTGTCCTAGATGTGTTCGTGTATGAAAAAAATTCACACATTTTTACAGTGTCAGACACGTGTCTAGGGATGTCGGATTCAGGTTCATGGTTGACATGGATATAACATATTTTTAGAAGTGTTGATACTACATAGCCTTTTACAAATCACATATTAAACCCTTCTCAAATTGAGCATAGATAGTTGGCACTAATGATATTTAAACACTCCAGATATACCAAACCTGTATGAAAACTTGTATGAAAAATCGATTAAAGGCCTGAATAAAAGCTATAATCAAATAAATTAAATAATGTGTTGTCTACAAATGATCAAAAAGAAAAAAAAAAACTTTCAAGCTATGCTTACCATGCAAATGAAACTCCAATGTATTATTCGGAACAAATTCATAAACAAGAAGCCGCTTTCCTTCCGCAATGCAATACCCAACCAATGACACTAAGTATCTGTGATGCACACGGCTGATGATTTCTACCTCCGCTTGGAACTCACGTTCTCCTTGCCCGCTTCCAGACTTCAACTGTTTCACAGCAATTTCCTTACCACTGGGAAGCATTCCTCTGTGAACATATCCAAAACCACCTTGCCCAAGCAGGTTAACCTCAGAAAACCCATCTGTTGCTATTGCCAGTTCTTCATATGCGAATGTACTCTTTGATAAGCCAAGTGAAAGAGTTGGTGATGGAGGAACTGGTGAATTATCAGATCCAGAATAATTTAACCCAAAGCTTCCACTCATTACAGATGGAGGGGCCCCAAAATTGCCCGGTACGAGTGGAGGGCGAGAAGGAAATGTTGGGGGAGGAGAAGGATTTGGAGGTATTTTGATAGCATGATCTGCTTTTGGTGCAGAATTGTGCCAATTTTGGTGCTGCTCATATGATTCATCTGCCAGTAAGTCGAAAGGATTAAGAATTTCTGCTTCAAACAAAGAAGATTTAAGTACATACCACTCAATTCTTATGTTTTTACATATCTGACACCTAAGCTTCTGTTTTACATACATGACACCTTACCTATGCATGAAAATGTGTATTTAACTTTTTCAAAGTTAAAATGGTTGTATTTTTTATGTGATATCAAAGATTTAGGAACTTTAAATGTAAAAGTTGAAGTTTAGGTGTTAGATATGTAAATACATAGGAATTGGATGGTATGTATGTGAATGCCGCTTCAAACATAGCTAAACGATATTATTGACAAAAGTATTCAAAAGAAGGAAGATTTGGCTCGATCAAATTAACAAAATTAACTCAAAACAAGTTACTAAATCCTCTTTAAAAATTGCAACATAATACAAAAGACAAACTTTTGACCTGCTTCTTGAATTTCAGAAAAAGCCCGTGACAGATGTGAAGCATTATTTAATAATTAAGAAAAAAAACCCAAAATTATGGGCATTTTATAGGGCATGGAATAAGGATATATGCAACTCTCTTTTGGCGCAACAAAGAGCACATACAATAACAGAAACCCAGTTCTATCTCACAGAATTAAATAAATATCTTACAGAAAACTAGAATCATACAGCTTATCCAGGGAATGAACAGGCACATTCAAGCTGCAAAGAGAAACAAATTCTAAGCTTATTTGGGAAAAGTTCTATTTTTTTATTTTTTATTTTTATTTCTATTTTGTTTTTAAAAGCATATCTATGAGCACTTTTTGCATGTTCCTCTTTTCAGTTTTTAAAAATATCAACTTGTTTTTTTTAGAACCACACAAAGCAATTTTTAAATATTTTGAATGTTGTTAAAACATTACCACCAAACATGTTCAATTCAAATCAAAATATAAACAAAATTAAATATTTATTTAATAATCAATAAAAAAACAAAAGCGATCCCAAACAGCCCTTAGTTAAGCAGTAGAATCGCATAACAGAGCAGATACAATTGCATCCAAGATAAAGAGCAAAAGAAAAAAAAAAGAAAAATACAAACACGCACATCTATATGTTCAACGGACCACATAGAGCATAACGAATCAAATTCAAGTAAAAAAATCAACCAAATTATCAAAAAACTCAACTTTTTCACATCTGAGTAGAACAATTCTCCACTCTTGAGTTCTTTGTGCATCTCAAAAACGAAGTTTGAGCTACAAGCTACAGATGAAACTAACAATAGGAAAAAACCAGATCCGCATCGCATCAAATTAGCAGTTAATAGAAAGCGCACAACGCACGTTACCTTTCTTTGGAGGGGGAGCAATGTAGTATTCCTGCGGCATGGGACCTGGCCGGCGCTTCTTTCTGCAGCAACAGATCCATGAAAAACACAACAGCAAAATAACCACCACTCCACCGATGGCCAACCCAACCATAAGTCCCATCGAGGTCGAGCTCGACGACGAATGAGAGCTCGACGACGAATGAGAGCGACCAGATGAAGGAGTGCTCCTCCCAGATCCAGAAGGTCCCGATGGGTTGGTTACCGGTGTGGAGCTGCTCGGTGCGGATGGGATCACTGGAAGGGAAGGAGAAGGTGGAGAAATGGCCTTAGAGGGGGGAGGAGCGGTGGAAGGAGGAGATGGAGAGGAGAGGGGTTCAGGAGGGGGAGAAGTGGAGTTTGAGGGTGGAGGGAAAGTGGAGGACGGCGGCGGTGCAGAATTCGGCGGTGGTGAGGATGCCATGGCCAACTGCGACCAAATGTGGCTCCTTTTTGTGGATAAAAGAGGAGCACGGGAATGCTGGAGAAACGGATCCCTTGCTCCCACTGTTCTGTTTAGATGGGGGACAGAGAATGAGAGAGAGAGAGAGAGGACAAGAAGGTTATTCGTCGCGGACGGTCTACACGGCTAACCAAATGTAGTACTGACTTCCGGGAATGGCTGGAGCATGAAGTGGAGCGGTTTCCTTCTACACTGGGAAATTTTTCACAGAATTTATGTTACTAACGGTGAAGGAAAACTAATGTGTTAATGATAAAAACATAATGAGTTAGTGATAAGAAAAAAATATTTACATACATGTTGAATTGATTTATCTGTGAATCACATTAGTTGAGCATAATACAAGAAAGTGATGGAAATACAGAGGGAGAGCTGCTAGTTATTTCTCATCAAAAGATTTTTCATTTATAGAGGATGTAATATAATATATGAAGTTAACATATTTGTTATGTTTTAATAGGGGAATTATCAGTTATTTTACATATGAGTCCGTGACTTGCCTACTTTCTTGCTCGATCGGCTGGTAGGCTTCGGTTCGATAAGGCTTGCTCAGTCAGCTATGTTGGGTTGGCAATAGCAGGTCGGTTGAGCTTATCTGACCTTAGGTTGGTAGCACAGTTTTGGTCGCGAGATGTTGTCAATCGGCTGGGCTAGCATGACTATCGACCATTGATCCCTCAATGAAAAGCTTCTGTTGGTAGAACAAGGTTAGGCTATCAAGCAAAGGGTAAGTAACAATAACCCGACATTTAACTCATTCATTTACAAGGGGGTCCTTCAAGATATTTTAGTTATGCTATTGTCAATTCTTAGCCCCTGATAAGAAACCTCAGGGGCTTCCATGAGACTGTTGATGATATTGAATTCTTTCCCTGAATTTGATTGTGACGATAGGCACGTCGATACCCTTGCTCAGCTTAATTAGCCATAGTTTGGTTCGGGTGGTCTATACCTAATCAGCCTTCAACCCTGGTTTAAGGGGTTTTATTTGGTTAAGTAAGTGGATCCTTCAATCTTTTGTCAATGGGACCTCTTTCGTTGTACTTCTTTTCTTTTGAACTGTTGGATCTCCTTGGGACTTATAATGATACATTC